ATTCAGAGACTATTTCTACGTCTTGCTTACACGTTCGTGCGTTATGCCCAGTTTGATTGCACCGTCCACAGCGCCTTTGGGATGGCTTGCCCACTTCTGCGCGCACCCGCTTCTTCGCCTTCGTGCCATGACTGCGAGCCCCAAAGTCTTTTAAAGCTGTCAATCGCTGGCCTTCCTCAATTTTTAGGGGCCCTTTTGCACTTATCCGCTTCCTTTTGTACGATTTACGTCGCGTGGCAGCCTCAACAGCTGCTCGAAGCTGAGTGTTTTCCTGTTGCGCTAACACCAGCTTGTGCGCAATCATTGCTGCCCCCTTTGAGACCTTCTCAAACGCCTCAACCAAAGAAGTCGGTGAGCTGTTTGTATGCGTTTGAATCCTTGTCTTCACAAGCGTCGATTGCGACCCAAGTTCTAGGGTGTTCCTTGGGGTTGCTGACTGCCAGGGCTCGTCGTTGACAGTGAGTTGTGGTGATGGAGTGCGCAGCTTCACGTTAAGGCCCTTTATGACCCGTTCTGGGTCAAAGGGGACTAGTCCGGCGCCTCGAAACCCTCCCTGAATGTTGCTAGGGGTAATTGCGGCATCGTAGGCCGCTTTAAAGCATGACAGGAACTCAGGCTTAATGATGTGGTTGATCCGTTTGCGTATAAGGTCTTCGGCTTGGCGCCCGTACGCCTTCTTCAAAGGGGAAAAACAACCCACATCAAGTGGCTGCAGGAGGTGCGATGAGTGAGAAGGCATGTAGACGGTGATAATACTGTTGTCCTTGCAGTATTTTTGGGAATCCAGTGAGTTATGGCTCTCGTGGCCATCAATAACCAGCATACGGTGGGTGCCCACAGTACGTCCCCTTGAATGCACATCAAAGTGCTTCAACCAGTCTAGACCAAGCTGATTTGTAGTCCAACCATTTTCAGAGGTCTCAATAACCCAATCTTAGGGCAGATCTTTCTCTTTGTACCAGTTGGACAGGTGATTGCGGGCCTTGAAGATGATAAAGGGCGGAATGGCCCACCCTTTGGCATTGATGCCCTGGATGACCGTTGCCCACTCCCGATTGCCTGGCTGGACTTGCTTTGGTCGTCCTCGTTGCTCTGAAGCTGTAACAACTGCTCCGGAAGATATCTGGCCCATCATGAAGCCGGTCTCGTCGAAATTGTACGTGTCGTCATCCTGGATGCCATACTTGGCTTTGATGTTGGCTACCAGGCCGAACCAGCCCTGGATTACCCCCGAATCCTCGCAGAGGGCTCTGTTGTAGTCGTACTTGCGATTGAACTTCACTTTGAGCTCTGGCTGACGCGAAACGAACGTACTGGCCCAGTGAAGGCCAACATAGCCCAGACCACGCTCAGCGCGCAAAGAATTGGCCATATCAGCCACAGCTTCCAGCCGAGGGGGGAATCCTCGCGCAACCAACTCAAGTATGTGCTCAACAATCACCCGCTCCTCGTTATTGTCCAAGTTCCGTGAGTTGGCTATAGAATTGGCTCGTGAAGGTCGTCCAGCGCGTCGTTCGCGTAGCGTGGTTTCAGAAACTCTGTAGATAGCTGCAGCGCGTCGCTGGGAGAGCTTCGCGTCTTGTTTGAGAGCTTCAATCGCAAGCTGTATCTGAGCTTCTTTTGACATATTTGACTGGTGTTGTTGGGGAGGTATGAGTGTGGTGAGGGTATGGGGGTGGGGTCTTGGCAAAAGTGCGCCGCTCGCCCGTTGCGCCGTTCGCCCGTGGGGTACGTTATTCGCTATAGTTATATTATAAATTAAGAATATTAATATTATAAGCCTTAAGCATGTTCTAGCTTAAGAGTATATTTAGCGTAATAACGTTGCTAATTAAATAGGCCTCAATATTAATCTTTATAATGTAAGGCTGTCTATCCTTCTATTTAGAAAGGAAAGTTAAAGTTAGAGTACTCTTTAGTAGTAGTAGTTCTACTTATACTATTTAAACCTACGTTCTCCTTCCTAGTCTTAATTATAGCGTAGGGGGCGTTAGCTTCTAGATAATTTCTCTTAACTAAGGAGACTACTACTTCTATATTAAAGTAAATTTCCCTAGTAGGCCCTTCCTTAGTTAATAAGGCTTAGGCCTTATAGAAGGTAAATTTCTAGAGGCTATTCTTTTGCCTATAACAGCTGTTTGAATGTAGGAGCTACAACGGGTTGGAATATACTTAGTCAGCACGCATGCGGGGTGGCTATCTCACAACCCCGCTGCTGCCCACTACAGAAGAACAACAATGACAACAAGCAACCATACCTGACGCGATTCAGCCGCTTGTTCTTGTTCAACACCAATCTGACCAATCGTACGATTACGAAAAAGCGATTGACCCTGTCAACCCAACATAAGGGTTAACTACATTCTACTATATTAAATAGTAAGGTTAGAGTAATAAGTACAGTAATTAGGTAAAATAAGATAATATTAATTAAACCTTAATTAATAAATATAAGAGGGGACGCCTAGGAGCACGCTTAGCCTAAATACAGCCCTTATTGTTACTATAGTAACACCTTTACGCTAAGATATACCCTGCGTTAGATTAGGCTAAAATTTCTCTAATGTAATAACAACCTTACTACGCTCGTTGCAATAATAATAATAAATACTATATTCTTACTTCTATTATTGCTACATATTGCTACTACTAAACCTTATTACTACCTCCTATACTACTATCTCCTACACGAATTCTATAGCACCTTTAACTAAACTACTAAGAATAGGTAAAGGCGTAGGAATAGTATCCTTTTAGTATAAGTAAACCTTCTAGCCTAGCGTTAACTATTAGTACTAAAGGTACTAAGCTTTAGTAACTAGTCTAACTACTATAGTAAGGCTAATAACTTTAGAAAATATTGTCTAGGACGTAGTTTCTATATTTACGTTAACGTAGAGACTAGGTGAATAATCCTACTACGTTTTAGCGTTTAGCTACTAGACTATCGTATTAGATAAGTAGAAGCGTAGATAAAGACTAGACGCCTTTTAGCTAAAACTATAAGCAAAGTCTAGCTATTTAACGTTATAACGTTACTGGCGCTTACTATTATCCTTAGACAATAGTTATACTATAACGTGTTTCCTATGCGAGCTGGCACCCCTAAGCGAGCTGGCACCCCAACTGAGTTGCACGTCTTTGCAAGCGCATAACTCAACACCACCACATG